TTCAAAAAAAAAAAAAAAAAAAAGCTACATGAAAAGAAAGTGTAATTTGAATGTGAAATCCCCAAAAAGAGTTAGAATATTACTTTCAACAAAAACAGTACACTGTGCCCTGATCTGTATGCAGAGATGCAGGGTAGAAATGAATACAAGTTTGTCGGGCAAGTGGGCTTGGTCTAGACATCACAGAAAACCACAGAGACAAACACCAGAGGAACCAAGTGCATCCTTCAGCCACAGGCTGTATCCACAGGAAGGGCCACCTAGAGTCCCGGCCGGAAGTGCTGAGGTTCAATACTTTCATTAAGGAGAGACAGTGGCTGTGTGACCCACACACCTGTTCGATGATCCTGTCACCTGTCTGATCATCACTAATATGTCCACTGTGATTATTTTTCTGCCCAAGCCAAAACCCAGAGACTCCCCGCAGGCAAACTCCCCACTTGACTATCCATGAATGAAGTGGGGCTTGCTGCCTGAAACCCCATTCCCCCATCTTTGCCTGGCACACACCTCCATGCCCTCCAACACCTGGCTCAGGTGTGGCCCCCGTTGTGTCTCCTGACCTACACCTGCTTCTACTCACAAATCCACCCCAGCAGTACCTCCACGTACCTCTGTGCCAGGCACTGTCTGAGAGGCTGAGAACACAGCACCGAGTCCTCATCCCTGCAGACTTACATTCTAGACAGAGGACAAGCAGAGGTCACCTTTACAGCACCTCAGAAAGTGCTTTAGTGCTGTGGGAAAAAGAAGAAAGCAAGAGCAGGTAAGGGAAGAGCGGCCTGGTGGAAGTGAAGGTCGCAATTTTTAACCATCTCCTTGAGAAGGTGACACAAGCAAAATGGTAGAGCGATCCATGAGGCTACCTGGGAGAAAAACACTCTGCCCATGGGCCAAGCCGGCACAAATGCTCTGGGCAGGAGCATCACGATAGTGAGTACAATGGTAGCAAGGGGTTTTGCAAGAAGGACTGGATTCTGAGCACAGACAAGGACAAGTGGATGAAGACTGAGTCGACAACACTTGTTTGTAAATCACAAGATGATGCCAAGGCTTTTGGTCTGAGCCTCTAGAACAGAGTTGCAAAGAAACTGTCTTAGTGCTTATCCCACTGTGTTACAGCTGTCGTTTCATTTTATCTTATCTGTATACGCCATTCCACCTTGAGCATCTGCAGGGCTGGAGCAGTTTTGTATCCAGGCAGGAAATGCTAGCGGTCACCCTGCCCCAGCTCCATTACTCTGGGCTCATGCCGGTCCCGCCTCTCCCCATTTGGCTTGGCAGGGTGTGAGTGGAAGTGACCGAAGTCGCTTGCGTGCCGAAGCACCTGGTGTTCAAGTCTCTGCCTCATCTGAGTGCGGCTCAGACGGGGCTGGCTGTGTTCCTGTGGGACTCAAGGAGCAGAGACCCAGAAACCCTGTGGAACACGAAGCAGCAGGAGCTGCTGTTCCATCGTGTTTTGCCTCTGACACTGTATTGCTGACTGTTCCCAGCCTACCCTACCCAGTACGGTCGCCAGAGTTCAGCACGGGCATGGTACTTGTCATGCACACCTGTTTGCAGATGAATGAATGATCATCATTTTAACCCCTTTGTCCTTGCATGGCTCATTATTACAACCATGAATTCTGCAGTAACTGAATCCTGGAAAGGAAAAGCAGAGTGAGCAGCCTGACTGGGCATAAAACTGTGAGGCTACTTCTGCCACCCCAAGATAGCAGTGTGAGACCCTCTCGGGGCTCAGGCAGGAAACACAGAAGAGATCATCACCACTCACTGCTAAGACCCTGCACTGACCACCCAGGGTACACGCATGTCCCCCCTAGTGGGAACACAGCTACATGGCCACATCTAACAGTCACAGGACCCATGGGAGGCAGCAATTTCCTTCCTTTTTGCCAGCTTCCACAGCCTCAGGTGGGGCCCACCTGGTAGAGCTCTCCTCCCCCTGCACACCCAGCTAGCATTTGCTTTTGTCACAATTTTCCCAGTTTCCCTGCAGCCCCTAGCAATGTCTTTACTGGCAATGTCCACAGCGGACTACCAGTGAATGGCATAAAATATACACAGTTGATGCTCAGTATTCACAGCAGTTATAACATTCTACAAAGTCGCTGCAAACACCAAATTAGGGGAAACTGAAGCATCACTTTTAGGAGAAACACAGGACTGCATTCTGCCCCAACATTTTCCTCAATTCATCAATGTATAATCCTGATTTATGTGTATTTCTGTTTTTAAAAAACACCGTTGTTTCATAAATATCATTTATGGGTGTGTGTGTGTGTGTGCGCACACGCGCGCGTGTGTTGAGCCGTGCTAGGCAGGCTCTCTACCACTGAGTCACACGCCCAACACTGAACACATCAACAACCACACTACCATATCTTAAATGTGCTATGTCACACTCAGGCTGGAGAGAGGCTCGTCTTCCACGTATTTTCTCCATCGGGCACTTCAGAGCCTTCTCACACCTGGGAACCCTAGACAGCACTTTAGCACTGTATTTGGGGCCCACTTTCCATACCAAAAAAAAGCAGAGAAATATGAAATACGTGGTTCTAAATACACCACGAAAGGGCACTGGTCTGCAGGATCCAAGCAGAAGCAGGAGGACTGAGTGTCACCTGTTTGACCTCATTTGTCCTTGGTTTGGTACCTGCACATCAGATAACTCCCATTTCTTGCCCCTGTGCATGTCAGTATGTTACTAGGAAAGTGCTGAGAGTGCTGATAAATTCTAGCCAAGAAGTAGGTCTGCAAATAAGGGATCATGTTTGAAAAGGAACTAAAATTTAAATTCCTCAGATTGACATTTCTTACTTAAATAGATAGGAGAAGAGATTAAGGAATTAGAATATAATATCAAAAAGGCCCCAGAACACTAGAATCCCTGTCTTCCAAAGGATGTTTTTGAAGTTCCTGAATGCACCCTCTCCTCGGTTGTATTTATCAGCTTTCCTATGGCTGGGGGAAAAATACCTGTCACCTGCATCTTAAAGGAGGAGATGTTCAATCAGCTCACAGTTTTCGGTGGACAGTCCATGGTCAGCTGGCTCCAAGTCAGAAACAGCTCACTTTACACAGGAGCCTCCTGAGGCACAGGAAGGGTAAGGCAAAGGAAAGCTACTCACCCCACGGTTGCCAGGAAGCAGAGTGACAGCACAGCAGAAGGGAGGAGCCGGAGACAAGATTACACCCTTCCAGATCATGCACCCAGTGACCGAGCTCCAATCAGTCCCTCACACACACCTCATACTAACACATTCAGCTAGGAGCTCATCAATGGATAAATCCATAGCTCCCTCCATGATCCATCTACCTCCAAAACCCCCACTTCTGAGGCTGTGGGGGACATTTGATCTCTAGACAACACCAGCGCTCAGGCTCACCAGAAGCCCAGATGAGTACCGCTGGCCTCAGCACAAACAGGACAACAAAAACAGGCATCTCTAACAGCCTCCCTCACCACACACAATGAGCTGTCGAGAGTTTCCTTCTCCTGTAAAAGAAGTCTAAGTCCCACTCTGACAAGAGTGCTTTCTGCTACCCCGCTACACTGAAAAAAGTGAATTCTTCCTCCACACCACAAAAGACACCAGAAGACAGCACTAACTCTGGTTGTGATTTCCTGCCTTGCATTACACAAGCATAGACCACAACTGTAGACCAGCTATATCCAGACCCTACCATCTGAGGCAAGATATGAGTTTAATTTGACATGGGCAGAAGGGAGACTTGGTTTTCTTTTGACACTTTCCATAGGAGCTAACTCTAGTGACAATGACGTCAGGGAACCATGCTCAGCTCCAGCCCCTGTCTGAAGCACTTGTAAGTCTGAGTACATTAGTCCTTGGTCAAAGGAGACAAGTGCGACCGTGGTGTCCATTTTACGTAAGAGCCTCCCGAGGCACAGGACAATTAACTGTGTAAGTTATACAACTGGGAGGGGAAAGTATCAGGCTACACAGACAGGTGGTCTCGCTAACCTGCCAAGCTGCAGAGTTCTGGGGCACAGTTCATATGCACCCACATACCAGGGAAACAGGCACAAGTTCCCCCAAGAATTCCAGCCATGCAGACAGCACACAAACGAGCAGCTGCTGCAGTCACACCTGCTCTTCCCAGGAAGTGCCGTCTGGGAGGTTATGACACTTACTTTTAAACTGAATGCAAACAATAAAGGGGAAAGGAGGTGTATATTTAGGGTACATATTTCTAAAACTAAAACTCATGAACTCATGAACTCAAAAGATAAACCACAATCTCTGGCATCTCAGCTCACAAGCCCTTTAGGAACCCAGGGCTCACAGAGCTGTCAATGAGAAGCCCAGAAAGAACAGGAGCCAGAGGGCTACATCTGCTTGGGGCCTCACAACTCCAGGTCCTCAGGAGGATACGATCTATATCTGGGTGAAGGAGTGTCAAAGGCAGGAGGAAGGACTGGAGATTTAGCTCAGTGGTTCTGGCGCCCGAGTCACAAGAGCAAGGGCCTGAGTTCCAAAAAAATAAATAAATAAAGTTCCAGAGACTTAAAAAGGGGGGCGGGGGAGGAAGCTATCAGTGCCACCAAAACAAAGACGGTCAGATCTGATGGGCTGCTCCACACACCTGTGCAACTGTTGATCACAATATGTCAATTTAAATGGATTGAGAAACACCTAGCAGATTAGTAAAGCACAGCTCTGGGTGTGTCTGTGGATGACTGACATGTAGACCAGCAAACAGAGGGGGAAGACACCCTCCCCCAGTTGTGAGTGGCACCAACCAATAGGATTTTAGCCTGGGGGGAATAAAAAGGGAAAAAAAAGAAATCTGCCTACTTTTAAGAGCTCAGTCTTCTGAGCAGGTTGGCCCTGTGCTGCCACTGCCTTTGGACATGTATCTCCAGTTTCTTTGGCCTCCCAATGACTCTCTTTCAACATATTAGTGACTCTCCAGGGAGCTTCCAGTCCTCCAACCTTGGACTGGCATTGCAACCTTGACCCCTCTTGTTCTGTAGCTTCGAGCCTCATGGGCTGAGCAGCTACTGGGTCCCCCAGCTCTCCAGCGTGCAGACAGTCATTACAGACTCTCCCACCTCTGATCCTGTAGTGCAACCTAATAAATCCCCTTGCATAATTATGCATACATTTTCTATTGATTCTGTTCCTCTAAGAGCCCTAACTGATACTTCTTGCCAAGGACAGCCTCTGTTTATTGAGTATTTGTAGGGAATGAGCCTGGCCTTTACACTTGTGTCCTAACTATCGCCTTATCTGAGTCAAAATTTGGATCCCTCAGATAGAGAAATGCAAATATGTTGCTGAGATTTGTTTAAAGATCTCTGAAATGCAGTGTTGTAAACAGCCTCTTAGAACAGGAAGTGTCCCAATGACAGCCTCCACCCACATCCTGGTCTTTCAAATTCCGGTCTCTCAGATTTTCTCCTCCCACGCAGGATACTCAATCGAGAAATTGTCAGGTAACTGTGGCTCCTCTTCATGAGATTAATTACTTCACTGAAAAATGTTATTTGAACACCTCCTGAGGGCCAGGAAGCACTAGGCACTGGGCATCTGAACTGTCTAGGAGAAGCGCTTCTGGCTGCAGAGCTCGCAGCTGCATGGAGGCATGGACCACAGACAAACCATGACTGACAGTGCTGCAGCAGGCAGGCCCTGGGACTACAGGAATGGAGTGAAAGGTGGGGTTTGTTTGGTCTACAAGGTAGGAAAGCTTTCCCAAGAAGGTGGCTGTGAATCTGCCAAAATAAGGAACAAGGCAGAGGGGAGGAAAAGTCACTGTAGGCAGAGAGAAGTAGAGAGAGCAAAGGCAGGAGGCACAGCTTTCCCTGGCATCAGCTAAAGCAGCAAGAGGGGTTGAGGCCATTAGGAGCCAATTGGGAAAGGTCCCAATTGTCAGGATAAGGAACCAGATACTGTTCTAGAGCTGCAAGGAGCCAATGAAGACTGCAAGCACAGGACAGCACACCCACGAGCACTGTGGAAGCCATTCCTACTGGCTCCATTGAAGACGAAGTGGAGGACAGACATGGAGAAAAGGAACTGGATCAAGAATCCCATGCAAAACCTCAGTAAAATCTAAGGATGGTCTGAGCCAAGGCAGTGGCCATGGCCAAGGGTTGCAGGTTGGTGACAAGATGGAGGGGCTTGGAGATGGGCAGGATGGGGTGGGGATGTGGAGGATGCTGTGGTCTCTGGCCAAGGAGGTGGATGGATTCGGCTCATTCAAATCTTCACAGGGGACACCCTCAGAACAGGTGTGGTGGGAAGACATGTCCACGTCAGGGACTCCAACCACCCCAGAGTGAAGGTCACATCCTGCCAGATCACATGCTTTCCCTGAGTAACAAGTCAGTGGGCAGCCAAGATCCCAGAACAGGACAAATGGGATGTGAAAGGAGACACCTGGCTACAGGGACAGAACAGGGAGCAGATGAGATGCATCTGCAGGGAATAACCAAAATTTTCAGATTCTCCTGCCAAATGCTACATAAGTGGATACTCGACTCTGCTTCTTGCTCCTATGTATATACACAAGCACACTCAGACACATGCACAAACACATGTGTTCATACACACCATTTACGAGGCCCTGCGGCCCACTAGGTCAGTCTCAGAGTGTCCCTACAAGGTATCACTGGGAGCTCCTTGGGGTAGAAAGCCCTGGCTATAGCCATCTTTCAAGAGGACAGCAGCAACATGAGGCTAGGCGTGCACCTTTCCAGCCTGTCCCAACACCAAACCACCTACCTTCTCTTTCAAGCCTCAGAACAGTCCTATGAGTTGGTATTGCCTCTCAGTAAGGAAAATGAGAGCCAGAGATGTTTAATGGCCAGAAACAAAGTCTCCTGGCTCTGCGGAGGGCGGTTCTCTCTGCACGGGGCAGACTGGAATAACAGAAGCAGGGCCAAGTGAAAATCAGGGTCCCTGTAAAGGAAGTCTTTGATTCTATATCCTGCACCCTTCTAAACTTCAACCAGCTCAGACTCCTCTGCCTCCAGAATTCTGCTTCAAAGCCCAGCTAAGCTGAGCAAACCCTATCTCGCTTGGCACAGGGACTGTGGAGGAGCCAGCAGCCCAGAGGAGAACAAATCTCTGTACCTAGGCCACAGAGATGGAAAGGAGAGCTTCTGGGTAGAGGCTGAGAAGAGACAGTCCAGAGACACCTCTGTAGCCAGTCACCACCAGCTGCAGGCTCAAACAGACATCAGCCAACCACCATGCTTCCTCCTCACCCTCACCCAGTGCCAGCCTGAGCTTCCAACCATAACCAGCAAGGTAGAGACACTGACCTCCAGCTGCCTCGAGCTGCTCTGTAGGCAATCGCACAGCACAGGCTCCCATCTCCTGAGCAGGGCATCCCAACCATGGGCATCTCCTGAGCCACTGCCCTTTTCACCATGACAGCCAGTCAGCATGGGGCCCAGGGCAGAAGAGGAGCCAGTGTCCAGGTCCAGGGAAGAAAGCATGTCCCTCTCCAGCCGGAAGCTGCTCCTTGCCTCCTGAGCCAAGTCCTGGGTAGCTATGGGGCTGAAAGTCCCTGAGAGACATCCAGGGTCTTCATGGGGCCTGTCTGAGCTGGAAGCCGCAGCTCCCATATCCCGAGGGTTCCGATGAGCGGACTCAACCTCTCTGGATGGCAGGCAGTCGTCCGCCTCTCCATGTTCCCCGACAGAGCCAAGAGAGAGCTGAATGAAGCTAAAGCTGGAGGTAAAGGTTTCGTGGTGACTAGAAGAGGCTGACGGGATGATGGGGCAGCGGCTGCCACTCGCCTCTGCTGGTGCTGGTGAGTGTGCGGCCTCGGCACTTCTTGCTCCTTCACTGCAGGCTGAATCCTGGCTAGGAACCGGGGCCCCACCACTGTCCATGGACAGACGCTCTTGTTGAAGCCCAGTGTTCCCAGAGCTGCACGGCCTGGCCAGCCTGTGGGGAAGTCTGGTGCCATCTTTGAGCTGATTCCCAGAGCGCACCAGGGTCCCAGCTGCTCCACTCACAGAGGTCTGGGCCTGATTTAGGTAGCCCACGGAGTCCACAGCAGGGGCTGGTGAGCTCTTGGAAGCAGGGATCCCAAAGACGGGTCCAGGGCACACTGTCCAGCCCCAGACGCAGAGTGGTGGAACTCCTCACCACTCACCCCTCCCAGGACACAGAACGGTCTGCCTGCCACTGCAGGGAGGACCTCAAGCCCAGGCCCAGGTGTGCTTCTCATGTAGCCTGGCCTCCGTGCAAGCCGTCACCTCCGAGGGCGCTCTGCTGGTGCTGAGCAATCCCAGGCACCTGGAAGAGAAGAGAAAGCAGCACATCTCACTGGCTCAGCCGGAATGGCCTTTGGAGAACACACTGAGTTTAGAGGTCACCTCTGGGTACACCTGTCATGACCCAGGCCAGCTCAGGGGCCTGGGGTCAAAGCCATGTGCAAGTTCAGGTGACCCTCAGGAACTGCTGGTGTCAGCAGAGTGCCTCAGGCCCTTCTGGAAGCAGAGCGTCTAGCACCGCCATTAGACACGCAACACCCCAGCAGAAACTCAGAGTTTGCAGCTGTAGTGACTCTTGGGCCTCCAGCCTCCTGCTGGGGCTCCTTCAGAGCCAGCGCTTCTGACCCAGAGAGGCCTAGGACACAAAGGAATCAGAATGCCAGGGTGCAATGCAGACTGAGGTGCAGGCGTGTGCTCCCGCTGCCCACTGAACAACACGTGAACTATTATAACCTGAGCTCTCCATTTCCCACATGGCTGACCAGCTGCCATCAGTCACAGATGGCTGACTACCATTCCCTCTCACACAGGGGACGGCAGGAGGCCTGCGTGTGGGTTCCAAACCTGAATTCCCCACCCATAGTTACCACAGCGCCAAGCGTGGTGGCGCCCGCCTGTAATCCCAGCACTCGGGAGGCTGAGGCAGGAGGATTTCTGTGAGTTTGAGACCAGCCTGGGCTACATAGTGAATTCCAGGTCAGTCTCAACTACACAGTGAGACCCTGTCTGAAAAAACCAAAAAAAAAAAGAAAAGAAAACCATAGTTACCACCAGAATGGAAGCAATGGCAAACAGCTCACAGCCTGGTTCAAACCCTGAAGGTACCATTTGCCAGCTGTGTGACCTTCCACAAGTTATTCACCTCCCTGTGCCTCGGTTTCTTTATCAGTAAAATGGAAAGGGCATAAACGTCCCTAACAATAATAGAGGTGTCGTAAGTGTTAAACTGAGTTACTATACACAGACAACCTAGGACAGTACCTGGCACTTCTAAATGTGTTGGTAAAAAAATTAGTTATTATTTTTATAGCCCGTTGCTACTCATACTGTGCTTTCATCCACATACGTTCCATTTGCTCCCTACCAAGACCATGTGAACAAACCAGGTAAGAATTACCACACCCCCGTTATAGGCAGGGCCTCTGAGATTCAGAGAAGATAACTTCTGAGAAGCCCTGTAAGTGGCCAAAAGACCACACCACAGTCTTCCGCCTCTACCCGCCCCTCAGTGCTATGGCCTCAGGGCTCTGCCACGTCACGCATTAGGCAATACAGAGATACAAATATACCACAGGCAGCACTGGACACAACTGCAGCTCTGCCGAGGCCCGTGGTGAGAGGTGGGACAAACCTTCACTCAGGCTTAGTTGTTCCGCCTCATCTCAGATCTCACATGGTCCCAGATCAAACATGGTCCTATTACTAGGGCTTTGGTGTGCTGCAGGGTCTTCTAGAGATTCCCCGAGCAGAGAATTGGACGAGACAAGCACAAAAGGTACCAATAATCTACATTTATTAAAGATAAGAAGGGAGGCATGCTCTGCAGAGTGAGTGTGGGCCATTAAAGTAGGAAAAGAAGTGTACTCTCCAGGATGACAGTGGGCCACTGAAAGAGTTTGTGACGGTCCTCCTCTTTTGTATCCCCACTTCTCAGGCTGTCCTCAGATCTAGGCCCTCCTGTAAAAAAAAAAAAAAAAAAAAAAAAAAAAAAAAAACTGCTTGATTTTACACCAGAAGAACTGAAAATAGCACTTTCTGACTGGTCCCAGGTGCAAGGCTTGGGCATGTGTCCTGGATCTCTGTGATGGACAGGTTACACCTACTTGCCCAGCCAGCTGGCCATACCCTAATCTCATGCCTCGTCTCAGAGCACACGTGGTCCTGGAAAATACATGGTCCCTGAACACACACAGTCCCAGGGCATATGTGAGCCCAGGAGAAAGATTAGTGTTGGATCCCACAGGTGAGAGGGGAGAGGGAAATGGACTCCCACAGTGTCCCAGGGGCCCCTCTGTCATTAGAACGACATTTCTCTCAGGCCAAATGTCTTCTCCTGAAGTTGGGGTTTCCCACACAGGCCTGTTCCTTCTGTCAGGCCATTGAGAAGGGAAGCTGGGCATTCAGTTTCTCCCTCTGACAGTGGCTAAATCCCAATCACCTCCTTCCCCTCTTTCCATCTCTTTGGTCATTCCCCTGCTCTGCCTGACGACTTATACAGGGTCATCGAGTTTTATAAGGGACCCTGAGAGGAGTATGTAAGCCCCCCCCTTCTCCATGTGGTGGAAGTTCTAAATAAGTGTTCCTCGTCCGAGTATCAAAGGACTAAGCCTCAACCGAACTTGGAGGAGGGTTTTTGCCCCTTGTTTCCCATACCAACTGTATTAGCTACTTTTCTCTCACTGCTGAGATAAAATACCTGACACCCAAAGTTAGAGAGGAAGGAGTTTATTTGGCTTACAGTTGGTGGAAACTTCAGTCCATAATCAGCCAACTCTAAGACAGGGATGACAAACAGGCAGGGCAGAGCAGAAACAACATGGCACACACAAGGTAGCAAAGGCAACAAGGGAGCTTCAGTTCATGGCAGTGGAAGACAGCAAAAGCAGTAAGAGAGTTTAACAGCATCTTTCTGCCCCTTTTGTCTTATTCAGACTACTAGGTTTAGGGTAGTGCCAAACTAATCACTACATGGAGTGGTTTAGTAACCACACGCCCTTAACCCCAGCATCACACATTCCAGATTCAGTTACTTCTGGAAAAGAGTCCCACATCATCCGCATGACGCTTTGAGGGGCCTCGAAACACAAACCATCTCACCAACCAACCCCACAAGACTCTGAGGTCATCGGGGGGACTTGGCTTTAACTCCCATTTTGACCCTGGCCTAAAAAGGGAGGACCTTTGGGGGATTTTATGTGTTTGAGGAGTGCTGTCACCAATGTTACAAGAGCTACCAAAGGGGATAAAAAGGTCCAGGGCTTGGGCCAGGTAGTCTGGCCAGGATAGACTGTGGCTCCAATCTAGTAGCAGGTAAGGTACAGATAAATCCCCAAAGTGGTAGGATGAGTCCAGCACAGGGGGACCCTAAGCTGCAATAGAATCCCCTGGAAGGATGGAGGATTCCCTGTTCATAAAGGAGAAATAACCCAAGAGAGAGGGGTTTCTCATTGGAAATGGAGGGTGACTTTTTCCCTATTCCCCACAGACGGAAACTGGATCTTCTACTGTCCCGCCCACCATGTTCACCCCTGGAGTGTTTGCTTAAACACTGGAAAGATTTAGACCCTGAAATCTTCACGGGAGAGGCCCTGATGTTTTTATAGTACTGACTGATGCCTGGACACAATACTTACACGGGCATAGGTGGTTCAGTGGTAGAATTCTAGCCTGCCACAATACCTGCCGGGGGAACCACAAAAAAACGGCTAACCAGGGGCTCACTTAACCTTATTATCATCCTCCAGTTACATTTACTTTGTAAGAGAGAGGGAAAATGGAGTGTGGTGCTCTCTGTGCAGCTCTTCTATATTCTCCAAGACCATCCTGATTGGGCTTCCAAGTGTTCTTTGGACCTGTCACTCCTGGCAGCCCTGCTCCCTCTTCCTCCTTGGGAAAGTGCACACCCCAGGAGAGGAGGATCATGACCTGGTCCCACCATCTTCAGAATTCAGGCCACAGTACTTACAGCCCCACCAGATAGAATGTTACCTCTCTGCTCCAACCTGAGGGGTGAGCTCAAAAGGTCCCTTTCATTTATTTGGAGTTGGGGGAAATTAAGCAAGACCTGGGAAGTTTCACAGATGACCCTGATGATATACTACAGCCTTTGAAAGGGTAACTTCCCTGTTTAGACTGACCTGAAAAGATGTGACCTTCCTTCTCAGGAAGATCATCAATCAGGGAGAAAGGGACAGTTTGAAGCTCAGCCATCTGGGCTGGAAATGCTTAGTATGAGGCACACCAGGGAGCTCCAAGAAGAGAGGGAGAGCCAAGGGTTTACACCCCTACTGGAGCTGATGTCCCTATAAATAAGCCACAGTAGAATAGCGGGACTCCACTGGGAGAGACGGCATGCCTTCATTTCCTTCATGGTATTAAAGAAGGACTAAAGGGATCAAGGGTCAAACCCATTAATTATCTAAAACTAGGACAAAACTACCAGGAGGAAAAAGAATACTACTGCTGTGTTTTAACAACACCTGAAGGATGCCATGACCAAATATACTTTGATCAGTCCTAATAGTGTGGTTCCTAATAGGAGATTCTCATCAGTATAAATTCCTGACCAGTCAGCCCCTAACATCTGACATAAACTTCTAAATTCTGGACCCAGAGCAAGACCATTTAGAACTAGATGGTTGCTTAAGAGAAGCTGCCAAGGTTTTTATAATAGGGACAGAGACACTCAACAGGAAAAGGGGAGACACAAGGAATAGGTGGCTGCAGGACAGGGAGTCTCAACCAAGGGGCCCCTTTGTTACCACTGCCAGAAGTCAGGACGTAGCAAAAGAAAGTGGTCCTTCCTTAAGAAAGGAATCAACTTTGGGAGGAAAGCCCCACATGGGCCGTCTAGACCCTGCTCCATTTGCCAAGGCAATCACTGGGGTAACAAATGTCCTCAATGAGGACAATGATATTCCCAATGCAGTTCCTCAGGGCTCTTTACTTAGCCCCCTCCCCGCTCAAGTGTGTCCTATCTGTGAAGCCCCAGGCTGATTTGATGTGGAGTGCCGACCTATTGACTTTCTCATTGATGTGGGCGCCAGCACTTTGGTCCTTGCCTTTTCCCCTGAGCCATGCTCTACTTGCACTGTTACAGTTCAGGGGTCCAGGTTGCCCCATGGAAAGATTCTTCTCCCAACCTGTGGCTTGTATTTGGGGTGATCTCCATTTTGCCCAATCCTTTCTAAAAATTCCCAAGCCTCCAACCTTACTACTAGGGATAGACTTACTATCAAAAGCCCAAGTCCAGACTTGGCTTCTTCCACAGCCTAGTTCTACAGGAATTTCACCCCTCCAAGA